TTTAGACATCCTAATAAATGTTTCCATTTATTGAGCAGCTATTATGGGGCAGACACTGCTAAATATTTTAAATATATTACAGCTCATCTTTACAATGACTGCAGTTGTAACTTTTGCTAGGAAAAAGAGTGCAAAAAACAAGTTCTTATTCTTCTTTACTCTGCTTTTTTTTTTATCTTCCTCTGCCAATGTGTCTTGAAGAAAAAAAAAAAAACCATACAGTTTAAAAAGAAAATCAGCCCATCTTTGGTTACTTTTTTCACCTATGACATACAAAGTCATTGTGATTGGAAGATTCTCCCCCAACACACACATTCACACACACTCTCTCTCTCACACACACACACGGAACAAAAACTTAAGATTTCATGTTTTTAATTCTTACTAACGCAAAATAAAAGGCATTTAACAAGCATTAAAAATGGCAAAAAAATTAAGCTATTAAATTCCAACTTAATTGAAGGGTAGGTCCATAGATATCAACATGTTCATTTTAACTGGTTCCAATAATTCTTTTTGAGTCCTCAGTAAATTAATTTCCTTCTTTCCTCTGAGTTACTGAGGTTTTATTTTAAATGAAGTTGTAAAGTTTCATCTTTTTCTCCCCTATCTATGCAGTGGGCGGTCTATAGTTCAATCAGTCTATGTAGAACTAAATGTATTACTGGCCTTAAAAACCAGACATTCATTAAATGGGCAGATAACATTTTATGTAGCTGTAAACATCACTTTATACAATAGGTTGATGACTAAGAGTCAAGTTAATTTCTATAAACCAAACCATACTTTCATCCCTAGAAAAATGGGGTCCAGATTCATACTTGTCAATGCTGTACACTTTAAAAAAAAATGGTCAAAGAAATGAAGTACCATCCTATAAAATATATCCTCTTTGATCTACATTCAAGTGACATGCCCTCAGATTACCTGACTCTTGAAAAACAGGAATTTCCTGCATTTTCTCTATGCTGAATTTGAATGAAACCCCTTGCCTACATAACCAGATGTGTATCTCCCATTTTACCTTTCTTCTCATCACACACATATATAAATGCTGGTGAGGTTAGGACAGTAACTAACATAGACAGGACTATATATAATTTGATTATGGGTAGTAAATACTATAATGTTGCAATAAGGCTCATCCACTTGTTCATCAATTTTCTTCATTCTTCAAATATTTATTGTGAACTATGGCACCGTATTGTAGATGCTGGAAATAGTGAACACAAAAAAATCACACACACACACAAAACCTGCCCTCAAAGAGCTTACATTCTAGTTCCTCAAAAGGTATCTGCTGCTAGAATCTAAGTATTGAAAGCTTAAGAGAAAAGCTTATTGAAAGGCTCTATTAGTCAAATGCCCCAGAGGAGCAAAGACTATAATCAGTACTTCAATTAACATTTGTAACCTGTTTATTTTTACAAAAACCCTAGTTTATTGGTTTCCTTCAATTTTAATTTATATTTCACTACTTTTGATTTTCTTCCCCTTATACTTTCTAACATTTTTGACAAATTTCACTAGTTCCTTAAAAGAAGTAAGAGATAGTCCTTTCTAAATTAACACGCTAATTGATGGTGAACAGGTACCAACCAAGTGATGGTCTTCCTAAGAGTGAATCTTGGATACAAAGAACTGGCTTCAAAATGACACAACTGTTTACAAAGTCTGTGCCTCATGACTTAAGCATTCACTGAAGATGTCGATACTTGAAACAGTTTGATCTATTTGCTTGGTGTCTGCTTTCCTTTTCACCTTCCCACTAGACTTCTGCTTCCTCAGCAGCACTAATATGTGGTAAAGACTATCACTAGAAACTATGGACTTTCCCCTTGGCAGAGATTAAAGCTAATTCTTACCTAGCATTGCTGTTAGTGCAGTTACTGCTAATATAACACTTTCTCCACTGAATTCTCAGTTCCTGACTAGGCCATCACCAATCCTACCATAGTCCAATCAGTCAGGGACAATTATCACAGGTAATTTGAATTCTAAGTTCAATGTGGCCATACTACATCTGTTGCCGAGCTCACTGCTCCTCCATCCTCTCTTGAGCTTCTTTTCCCTCTTCATTTCACAACAGTGGTAATATTTTTCATTCTCACCTGCAGAACTCCTTCCACCAGCACCACCCTCCTTTACTCCAGCTGTCAGGACACCACAAGAAATTAGGTAATTTGCAAGTATGCCACAGAGTGATTAAAGAATGCAAAGCTAGCAACAGAATACCAAGGTTGCTCTGCATAGGATACAGAAAGATACAGGCATGTTAAAAGGAAATGTCACTCTGTGTATGACGTCTGCATTTCCATCTCTATATGTACTCAACAGATATGTTCCAGGAATTGTCACACAGTTGGTTTATTTTAATGGGAATACACTAACGCTGCCCCAAAGCAGAGATAGTAAATCTGTGACCATATTCAGTATTCAGCTTAATTTTGTCTGGCCCAAGAGAGAGACCAGAATCGAAAGAGAAGATAGAAAATAACAAAAGAATTCACAGCAGGCCTTTACAAGTCTTTAGAAACAAAAGATAGAAACATAATTCTGTGAAGAGAAGGCTGGTGTCATTCCCTTTTACTGCTCAGTGTACTTGTCATTGTTTCTACTTCTTTGCGCTTGCTTTCTCTTCTTCATTCTGCCTCCTTTCCTCACTGGCCATCATATGGCACTGGGATACATATCATTTACTGTATTTATTGATTTATGCTCCCATTTTCAATTTAAAGTAGATCAACTAAACATGTTATCTTTTTCTCCTGAAACAAAACAATTGGTTGTTATTTTTGAGGAACTTAGAGGAGGTGAGAAAGAGAGTAAGTATACAGTTCTTGAAATTTCTTTCAGATTCTCCAATTATTAACTCAGTTAAATGAAATGCCATCTTGATAAGCACAAATATTGCACTAAAAAATAGATACTGTAGTTTAAGACTTCACACACACACATAAAAAATACAAAGTTCATAAGGTATAAGTATAAAATTCAAAGTATTTAGAATAAAACAAAGTATCTGATGTAGAAAGCAAATAAAATTCTACATAAATAATTATTTCAACAAAAAATGGAATTGAAATAAATGCAATCAAAGGAAAAGAGTTTACCATTTTTATACAGTGAAAATAAGGATTTTCCACTCCTAAAATCAGTCTTCAAGCTGATTTTACCATAAAATTACTTTGTGTTTTCCATTTTACAATTTCTCTTCAGTAGTGTCTATGAACTATAAATTATTCAATTTCCCAGAAATGAAATCTCTTCCTAAAGACACTACAGAATCCCCATCACATAAAAATGTCACAATATCTTTACCACACAGAAAAACTATAATTAATAATTATAACTTATTCTTTATTTGTCATCTTTCTACAGAAAAGATCAGAAATTAGCCTTATCAGGAAATTACACATATTATGATTACAAATTTTAATAGACTACTGATTAGACTGTTTCAAGTTATTTCTAGCACATATCACAAGTCATTAATTCCAAAACAACAGTTTTTTAACAAAAAAGTGCAAAGAAGTACAAACGGACATCCTATTTCCCCCCATTACGGTCCATCTATCTATCTCCCTTTCAGTCGATGACATGGCCTTTTGGAGCTATAAAAATGGGTACTTCTGTTTCCAGTGGGTTCTAATAACCATGCTCAAACTGTATGTATTTAAGTTAAATAGACCATGTTTATTTTTTAAATGTTTAATCTACATGAATTTTCATAAAAGCTTCTCTGCTTACAATACACCATGTACCTAAAGTGAATGAAACAAATCAGTGTCAATGACTATACATCATGTTGCCTTGAAATCACAGTTTACAAGTGAAAACTTACAGATGTCAAAAAATGATTTTTATAGGTAAGTATTAAAAACACTTCAAGTCTAAAGTATCTTGTTAACTGAACTAAACTGAGATACATGGAAAACACTTAGCTTGTGAGTTGTGCTTCTTGAATTGACTTTAAAGCTGCTTACGGATCTAATCTAATTATTTCAATTTCTTCAATGATTGTTGTTTTTCAATTTATTTCAACAAACTTAAGGTTATTCCATATTTCTCTTCCTATAAGCCTAAAGTACTTCTCTGAAATCATGCTAAACTTCAATACTTTGTGACTGTTCTTACAGTGCTCCTTAAAATACCAACATAGATGGGGAGATTTCATAAATCATGCTCAGTAAATGTCTAATTTGCTATTTCTCCTATGGCTCCTAAAGACAGAACTTACGGTTTTGCCCACTAATGGTCCTAAGAGCTTTGTGTTGAATTTGTTAGATTTTTTGTTTCTGAATGGTAAGCTCCAAACTTTAGTTTGTGGAGGGAGCCAGGTCAGAGCTTACCACTACACTCTACTTCTTACCTACAACTATTCTCATAAACAACATGAGTTCAGTGTTAGACTAGGCAGTAGTAACCTAAGGGCACTATACCAGTGATACATTTTTTGGGAGCTAGAAAATTCAGATGACCACTCACTAAACATAAAATCATCATTCCACAAAGATTTTATTCACATTAAGCTTGCACAGTAGCAAAAAAAAAAAAAAAAATCAAAACATAAAACTAAGCCACATATCAAAAAAACATTGTACAATAGAGATTTGAATTTCTCAATGGCATTGGAAGATATTTTCATAAATAACAGTTACAATTCTAGTGTTAGATCTTTCAAGGTGTCTGAAGCTTCACAGTGCTAGAATTGATTTTTATCAGAACACATGCAAAAGTGTGCAACATAATAATTCGTATTAATGACACAAAAAAAGCACGCCAGCTACTTGTCATTCCAGCACGGCCATGCCACTCTATTTCTAAAAACAAACAAACAAACCCCAAATCCGGGTCCCATTCATTCTTCAATTATGCCTTTAGTCACTCTGTTTATTATATTCAGTCACTGTTAGTGCTCTTCACCACGACTTTCAGGTTGACGTCACTCCCTGCCTGCTGGCTGTCAGGACTGGGGGACGCCCCTCTCCCAGACTCACCTTCTTCCGGATGTCTTCATCATTTGCTCCAAGAGAGGCATAGAGCTTGAATGCAGCCTGGCGGAGTTCGTGAGCATGTTTTAAGTCATGATCAAGCTACAGAAGGGAAGAAGAGGTATGTTCCAAATCAGTCTATAAATTAAATCTTCAATAAAATACTTGAGTGGAGCTGAAGAAAAATATTTGTTAGTAACTGTTGGTGCTGTCACAGAATTCCTCAATTATTTCTGGGTTCCATTCACACATGACTGTGACCTTGCCTGCTGCTTCTATTTGTAAGTGAACCCCACAACACTTACACTAAATATGTAACAGCTTTATGAGTGTCCAAGCCCTAGAGTTTAGTGTTCCTAGATGGTAGCTCCACTGGCACTGAGCTTTTTCATCCAAATGTGTACCATCATTTCTTCCAAAGGAGTTACCTTGGAAAGGTTCCCTCTTATCCAATGATATAAGTGCTGTTCATAACATTCCAAGATCTTCGTTTGTAACTTTCTTAGAAGACCTAACTGGCATACTAGTTAGAAAACCCGGACTGTGGTACTGTTTTATCAACTAAGAGTTTCAAGTTCACTGCTAACAGTGGTATGTAAAGATGAGGAAATTCAGCTGGGAAATATAATTTAGGCTACCAAGAAACTACACACACACACACACACACACACACCCTAAAATAAAAAAATAAAAACTCATTTGGAGTAACTCTGAAGGCAATTCTTAAGTCATTCCAAAATGAGTAGAGTAGTTCCAAAAATGTTTTTAACAAAGCCAATAAAGATGGATTATGGGAGCACCTTTCCAACATACAACAACCATTTTCCTAAGTTCTAAACTATAGGCTAATCATAATTACATATTACCATAATGTGAGAATTTCTGAGTCTAGTACCTATACTTCGATAGTCAGAAACCATTGGATAACCCACTACCCCAATTAAAGGTGACAAAATAAACTAGTACTCAAGTCGGCATTGGGAAATCATTTAAAAAACATTATCCTAGTTATTCTGTGATGGAAATGAAATGGAAACATTCCTACAGAAGATGTAATCTTCTACAGACTAAATGATTTGCACATGCTTAAGTTACAAGTTCTTTAAATTATGTTTCCTTACTCTCCTGCCCATCAAGTATTCTTTTTGTCTTGCTGGGGTGGTAAACTCAGGGTGTTTATGAGGCCATAGTTAGGGCTGGCTTATGTATTTTTGGACTGGTAAGATTCCGTGTCAGTTAGCAAATGGCCAGAGGGAAAACAGACAAGGAAACTGGTTCAATGTAACTTATCATCTCTACTACAACAACACTATCGGGGGAAGTGCAGACACAACTTTAGTACATAGAAGTGTACCCAATTAATGCAAACATCAACGAAGGTGATTTTTAGGTCCCTTCTAACAGAAGAGACATTTCCTTAATAGTCTGTTTTCTCTTCAACATTAAACACCAAATGAACAACTGCCTTCAGAATGAGAATTTTGAAACTCAGAATTCAGAAGCGTGGGGGAGATCAAGAGAACGGATAACAAAAAACAGTCATATTCTTGAAACAGTACTAGTGACTAATTAAGAGGCCATGCTCTATCGTGACCTTCTTAAATGAACTTTCTCTTACAGAGTCTCTTATGCTTAGAGAAACGATATGGCAAACAGGCTAAGAAGCAAGAAGTTGAAAGGAACATCGACCTGCTCTAAGAAAGCTAAATTTTCAAAAACCATAATTTAGGAGCCGATGCTGTGGCATAGCAGGTAAAGCTGCCACCGCAGTGCCAGCATCCCAAATGGGCACCAGTTGGAGTCCCAGGTGCTCCACACCCTATCCAGCTCTCTGCTATGCCTGGTAAAGCAGTGGAAGATGGCCCAAGCCCTTGGGTCCCTGCACCTGAGTGGGAGACCCGGAAGAAGCTCCTGGCTCCTGGCTGTGGACTGGCATAGCTCCGGCAGTTGAGGCCAACTGGGGAGTGAACCAGCGGATGGAAGACCCTCCCCCTCACCCCCCGCCTCTCCTTCTCTCTGTGTGTAACTCTTTCAAATAAATAAATAAATCTTAAAAGAAAAAGCATAATTTAATCATTGACAGTCCTAACCCAGAGTTTAAATGGTAATACTATGAAACTCAATAAAGAAGACAGGAATAGATTGAAAAAAAATTTTTTTGATGGAGAGTAAAATAAGGTCACTCAGTCACCACCTGTAACAGAAGATTACAGATGCTGAGCCACTGGCTGAGATGCCCAAGTACCTTGGGAGTGCCTGAGTTAGAGAACTAGCCTGCTTTCCATTCCAGTTTCCTGCTTATGAACACCTTGGGAGGCAGCTGTTTATGGCTCAAGTAATTGAGTCTCTGCCACTGGTATGGGAGACCTGGATTGAGTTTCAGGCTCCTGACCTTGGCCTGATTCAACCCTGGCTATTGTGGACATACAGGGGAGTGAACCAGCAGCTGGGAGTCGTCTTTCAAATTAACAAATTAAAAAAAAAAAAAAAAGATTACCCTTAACATAAAGCATGAGAATACATCAACAGAAAAATGATTCTGTGACCTTGAATAGGATTAGATGATGTTGATATAATTTCAATACCCAGCTTAAAGACTGTGCTATTTGGAGGGTTTAAGCTGGGAGTTAAGTTTACTATTTTCTTCTTTCCTGCTTATCTGCTTAGTAAAAAAATTCCCAACTATAAATATATTAAACATATTTGAATTAAAAAACTCACAAAGCAATGTAATATGTAACCAAAGATAAATGACTCCTCTATTTAAAATGTTTTTGAGCTGTAATGATCAATTGGTTCAAAGTTGTGAGCAGTAAGAAAAACTTATTAAAAATCCTCTTGAACTACTGAAAAGGAAAAGCAAACATACCCTTTTAATATCAGTGATGGCACTCACTGAGCTGGGATACTTGAAATAATCAGCAAGCATGGCAATGAGGTGGTCAGTTATGCTAGCGATTCTCTGCAGCTCAACATCTGGCTCAATCAGATAGGCGAGTGTTTCAGCTCCTTCAACTCTCTCCTCTAGCAATCTCTCCTTACTGCACATTCGAACCAAACAAGGCAATGTCTGAAAGGCAGTGAGATCAGTTATTTGCTTTCTGGTAAAGGTAGAATCTTGAAGAGTATATTAAGACTGAATCAACTCAATGGCTTTCACTGGGAGTCATGTTTGTATTTCTTCTATTGATTCTCAATAATAAAAGATTTTTCAAAAAGCAAAAACAAAATTCAGTACAGATTAATCATCTGTGCTAGCACTCTAAACGACTCATACATTCAACTATATGAACAGAATCTCTTAGTTAGGCTTTTGTGATCAGTTCAGATTGCACCTTATCGAACAACCTTTTAAAAGACATTTAAGAATCCCTAACAGATCATATCTGATGGTTCTGCCCCATCTTTGTGTTTATTTACCTAAAAGAGATCCAGCAATTGAACCAGGAATGATTTTGCCCAAAAAGTATGGAATCTTTTCCTTAGTGAGTAATATGGTTGGGATGACTTTTTTAGTTTGAGAATTAGTATCTATAGTTGCAAAAACAAAACACAGCTTTAACAATTCAGTACTTTTACCATTTCTCATATTCCACATGTTATTCTAAAATGTGAGTGACATGCATTGATCACAGCTGCTAGGTTTTTCAAAGAACTTGCTGGAGTGATTATGGTATCCAATAATCCAATTTCTCTCCTGAGGTCCTTCAAACCTCTTGGCACTAGTCCTGGTAATTTATCTATATTAGTTTCTGAATAACAACATCTCATGTATTTACTATTTTTAAGGCTTTAAGGAATAATGTGGAAGTAGATATTAAAATTTTACAACAGGAAGCTTTCCTCAACTACCACCATAATCTCTACCACAAAATTTAAATTTTATTTCTCACTATTGATTTCCTATTAGGCTAGTTCAGGTTTTACAACTCAATCTTAGCTTTGAAGGGGGAGGTCCTACTCTCTTGGTCCTAACATTCCTAGTTACTAATAATTATCAACACCATAAATTCATGTTTTACTGAATGTACTGCCCTCAAGTACATCATAAAGAAGATACTACCAACCCATTTTACCAACGAGGAAGAAAGGAGGGCTAAAGAAGTAAATAAGCCAGGCTCACTTGTATGAAAGACGTTAACACTCAATGCAGAGCTGCTTATTTAGGGAATTCCTTAAATCTCATTAAATGAACTGACTCTATCAGAGACTGAAGTGATCTTCTCAAGGCTCTCTTATCTTTTACCTTAACTCACATTCATAAAATGACACAAGATCAATGCATTTATACTTGTTTTGTTCTTTATAGCTATGAGACATCTTAATGTAAATTATTTAATTTATAGTTATCCTTATTATAACCCTAGGGGATAGCTGAGCAGGAATTACTGCCCACATTTTCATAATGAAGAATCTGGAGCCACCAAAAGAATTGGGCATCAAGCAGGTCAGTGGTGGCAGTGCTAAAACCAGAATCCTGGTCTCAGGACGTTTACGACTGGTCTCTTCTCCAGGTTTTCTCAGTTCAGACAGCATCTGACATACCACAATAATAATAATAATAGTTTTCAAGTCTATCTATTAAGTCTCACCACTGGCTCTGAGAGTGACATAGTCTTCATATGTAGAGCTAGTAAAGTGCCTACAAAACTGCACTTCAAACATAATGAAAATTATAGATTATAATATATTTTCCACTTCACTTGAATTTCATATACTTTCAGATTTCCGTTTTCTAATTATCATAAAATGAAAAAGTTGTGATAAGAAACAAATCATTTTGCTTTACTATTGAAAAACACATCGAAAATTAACTTTTAAAAACTGTAAAGCAAGCACATTTTATGCCATGTACACATCTATAATGATAAATACATAAAAAGTGAGAATGCTATTATACATACTCAATACTTATAGAACTGTAATTCCCATGTTTCCAGGGAGACTTCATTAGCTTACCTTTAACACAATACAGCTGTCATCTGTCCGAATTGCTCCTGCTCTACACATGTAAGTTAAACTGGAATAAGATGGCAAAAAGTAAGTTTTACCTTTGGCTTTAAAGTTTTAAAAAGAAAAATTATTTGCCTTTGAGATTTTATGAAAAATAAAACACAAAAAAACAAGTACTATCATTTTTTTAAAAAGATTTATTTATTAATTTGAAAGTCAGTTACAGAGAGAGAGGGAGAGAGAATCTTGATCTGCTGGTACACTCCCAAGATGGTCCCTATGGCCAGCACTAGACCAGGCTGAAGCCAGGAACTTCTTTCAGGTCTCCCACTTGGGTAGCAGGGGCCAAAACAGTTCCATCCTCTGCTGCTTTTCCCAGGCCATTATCAGGGAGCTGGATCAGAAACGGAGCAGCTGGACAGACTGGCACTCACATGGTTTGCTGGTGTCGTATGCAGCAGCGTCACCCACTGTGTCACAATGTTGGTCCCTACTACCATGTATCTTGAGAGACATTTTGACCTTCCTTTACCTGAGGTTCAATTTAATAACTGAAGCAAAACCACACACATATAGATAGTAAGCCAGATACTAAAAACAAACAAAAAAACCTACCAAATTGTTTTAAAAATAGACGGCCTAGTAAGTGCAGACATTTTGAAACTGTGCTAAGTACATGTGAGTTATGTTTTTCTCTGTTATTTTGTTTTAAATTTTCTATAATAAAAGAGGAGGAAATATTAAAAAGTTAACAAAACATCTCAGTTTATAAATGAAGTTGAGATAGTCTAACTCCAATACAGTAGAAGTAGCACAAAAGACCCACTTAACTTGTAACACAACTATTCATCAAAAACTAATTATTCTGGAATGGGTATTTAGCCTATTGGTTAAGATACTCATAAGTGCCTAAGTTTGATGCCAGTCTCTGACTCATGATGTCAGTTTTCTACTAATGCAGACCCTGAGAGGCAGTGATCATGGCTCAAATAACTGGGTTCCTGACACCCACATGGAAGACCTGGATTGACTTCTCTGGCTCCTGGCTTTAGGCCCTGCCTTGGGCATTATGGGTATTTGGGAAATAAACCAGTAGAAGGCAGTCCCAGGGCAAAAAGTAAAACATTCTATGTTTGGCTTTTAGAGAAAACTATACACAAATCAGGAAAATTCTTTTATACTTATTTTGTAGAAGGTTGAAATCTTTGTAGCTGTTACTTTTCATGAGTAATTCACTGAAAATCCTAATTCTCTATTAAAGAGCCACAGCTTCACTTAGCATAGAACCATACATATGCTCAACATACCCGTAATTACCTCTATTGGTAATTGCAGAATGAACACACACTGGATGCTTACATGAGATAGGAATTATGCTAATTTTACACTATTATCATACAAAATATCACATATCTAAGATTCTGTTTGCTGTTCTTTTAAGAGATAAAAAAAGTCTCCTTCTCAGAAATCATCCCCCATGTCCCATTGGGGCCAACGCTGTGGTATATCAGGTAAAGCTACTGCCTGCAGTGCCAGAATCCCATATGGGTGCCAGTTAGAGTCCTGGCTGCTCCACTTCTAATCCAGCTCTCTGCTATGGCCTGGGAAAGCAGAAGAAGATGGCCCAAGTGCTTGGGCCCCTGCACCCACATGGGAGACCCGGAAGAAGCTCCTGGCTCCAGATCGGTGCAGCTCTGGCCATTGCAGCCATTTGGGGAATAAAGCAGGGGATAGAAGACCTCTCTTTATCTCTCTCTCTGCCTCTGCCTTTCAAATAAATTAATTTAAAAAAAAAATCACTCCCTGGTTATCATCTTTAATTAATTCTCTCTACATTTGTCTATATTTTCATTTTTGTGGTTTGATACTAGGATAATGTGCATTAATTGTATCTATTTCAATTTTGTATCATCTCAACTGAAATACAAAGACAGGGAAGGACATTAAAGTAATTTTCTGTAGATGGGTCTTCGATATATATGAGAGTTCCTGTCCTGCATACTATGAGTAATAAACTGAATGTTAAAAACTGACCTCTAAAGTGGCATTTGGCACAGTGGTTAAGACGCCACTTGAGATACCTGCATCCCAGTATTTGAGTGCCTGGGTTCTCTAGTCCTGGCTCTGCTTGATTCCTGCTACTGCACTCCCTGGAAGGCAGCAGGTGATGGCCCAAATACTTGGCTTCCTCTCCTCACACTAGAGATGTGGACTGAGTTCCAGGCCCCTGGCTTCCTCCACCTGGCTCAGTCCTGGGGAGTGAACCAGTGGACAGAAGATCTCTCTGCCTATCTCTGTTTCTCTGCCTTTCAAATAAAATTTTAAAAATGACTTTCATTTAGCAAAATGTGGCATGACTTTCAATTTTCAAAATCCCAAAGCAAGAGGGACTGAAACTGTCCAAAAATACTCTAAGAGATGGATAAAGCACTTTTCTCCCACATTGTCTTGACTTTTACCATTTTGCCGATGTGAGCTGCATCTCAATAGGCTTATCCCTCTGTAACATCTTCACAAAAATCTGTGGCAATAATTCTCCATCAACCAAAACTAGAAGCAAACAAACAAAAGGATTAAGAAACTTATTTAAATTCATAAAGTTCATAAATTAAATTTTATAGATGTACTGAAAGTTTCAGCGTACCATTCACCAGGGTCATCGATACCTGGGGGTTTTCAAAAGCTAAAACGGAGAAGCATTTCAGTGCTTGCATTCGAACCTGTAAAAATCAAAGAACAAATAGTGCATTTATTTTAATGGCTCAGAATCTAAACTCTTCTCCTGAAAAAATAACTATTTAAATCTGCTTAAAATACTAAAAGGAAGCCTCAAAGGAATGGCAATAATATTTGCATGATTTGAAGAGTACTGTGAAAGTCAGAATTAATTATAGAAAAATTAAAATCAATTTTGAAGTAATAGAACAATAATGAGGAAGCAGCAGCAATTAAAACTGAACTAGATAAGTCCCTAATCAAACCTGTAAGAACACTGTACAAAATACAGCGTTGTAAGACAAAGGGAACTTCAAAAAATTACCAAGAGCCTTTCAAGTGGGACATTGCTTCCTTCCTAATTACAAGACTGAAGGGAAGGCAAAACTAGAGCAGGTATATGAGATGGAGATGGGGACAAAAAAAACAAGGCAGAGGAAACAATGTTACAACAAAAGTTTGAAAAGGACTAAATTAATTTACCAATAGAACACCTAGCAATTATGTTACCCTTTCTTAAAACTAGGTTACTGGTTTGGAATACTATCAAGGGCCTTGTTTCCTGATCACATAAACACATTTTATTGTTTGCAGGGGCTCCTATGAGAACTCTTATTTTTTATTCTTTCCATTCATTTTTCACCACATGATCTCATCCTCACTTCCAAAGCCAGAGTCTACAGGCACTGTTCTCATGTAGAACCTGGGGCTGGCAGGCACTCCCCAGACAAGCAGCAGGGGAGTGAAGCAGCACACTCCCTCTCCTGGGGAATGCTCTGCAGGACTGGCACAGACCACAGGCAGAAATGAGAGCATGTTAATGACACCATAGCGGTGGAACAATCCTAGCCGAAGAGCAGCGTTACCAGACACTGTCCCTTCTACAACTTGTAAGTTTCAAGTTATTACAGTAGATAAGGAAGTCTAAAGCGCGGGGGGGGGGGGGTGGAAGGAGAGCAGGGAGAATTAAGGAAGCTGGAGTATGGACAAGTAAAGGGACAATAAATAGCTGACCACACGACTGCTTTTTGATGTGCAAGGGCTAACTGGTTTAGTCCTCTGTGTAGCAGAGAGAAGCAGCAGCTCTCAGTAATTTTCTTTCCCTGCCTCTGGATAGTTTCAAGCTGGCTCCACCCATTCCTATCCTTATGAACCTATTACCAAGACTAAATTCTGGATGTCTAAGACAGGGAAAACATACATATGAGCAGATTCTATTTGAAATAAAGTTAAGCATAAAAAGAACAATAGTTGAGGATCATCAGTGCAAATACACAGAAAATAAAAATGACTGCTTCCCTGATCTACAGGTAACTTCTGCCATACCCAAATCTAATGTGATATAATAAAGACAATGTTCCAATATTTGCTACAACATTCTAACTAGACAACAATGAATGCTTAAAATTTTAACTCAATGACTGATAACATTATGTTTACTTTTTATAAAGTCTGAAAATTCTTTGACTTTTCAAATAAAAATATAAGAACACATTTTAAAAACATTTTAAGGCTGGTGCTGCAGCTCAATAGGCTAATCCTCCACCTTGCGGCACCGGCACACCGGGTTCTAGTCCTGGTTGGGGCGCCAGATTCTGTCCCGGTTGCCCCTCTTCCAGGCCAGCTCTCTGCTGTGGCCTGGGAGTGCAGTGGAGGATGGCCCAAGTGCTTGGGCCCTGCACCCGCATGGGAGACCAGGAGAGGCATCTGGCTCCCGGCTTCGGATCAGCACGGTGTGCCGGCAGCAGCACGCCAGCCGCAGCGGCCATTGGAGGGTGAACCAATGGTAAAGGAAGACCTTTCTGCCTGTCTCTCTCTCTCTCTCTCACTGTCCACTCTGCCTGTCAAAAAATAAATAAATAAATAAATAAAAATAAAAAACATTTTAAATATTGATGTGTATGTGGGTATAATCTGTAGGTTTGAGTCACTGTGGCTAGATAAAGATTTTAAATATGAAATCCAAAAATATGTTTTTCCTGATACAGCAGGTCATTGCATCTACACATTTAAAGGTATTATTTCAAATGTAGCTGCAGCACTGCTATCTAATCAGAAACACTGCAAAATAGCTAAAATCAAAAGCAATTCATACACAACCATATGCTAAAAAATGGACATGCAAGAGCAATTTATTTCCTAAAAGAGCATTCTATTGGTAAAATAATGTCCCATAACGTTTTACTGATAAACTACTACTCTTGGTCATAAGCTCTAGTAAAGAAGTGATAAAAACTCATATATATGGGCCTCTTTTTAGAAAACAAAGAATTATTTGGCCATATTTTTAACATCTCACCTTGTAGGATAGTGAGGTTAGTAGGTGAGCAATATTCTGAACTGCACCATGATTAAATAAAATTGTTTGATGATCTGGCCCCTGTAGGAAAAGAATACAACAATACATTAGGAAGAATAACGATTAACTTCAATAAAACTATATTTACTTTTTTTTTTAAAGATTTATTTATTTATTTGAAAGTCAGAGTTACACAGAGAGAGGACAAGCAGAGAGTCAGAGAGAGGAGGTGGGGGTAGGTAGGTCTTCCATCCGCTGGGTCACTCCTCAACTGGCTGCAACGGCTGGAGCTGCGCCGATCTGAAGCCAGGAGCCAGAAGCCTCTTCCAGGTCTCCCATGTGGGTGCAGAGGCTCAAAGACTTAGGCCATCTTCTGCTTTCCCAGGCCATAGCAGAGAGCTGGACTGGTAGTGGAGCAGCCGGGTCTCGAACCGGTGCCCATATGGGATGCCAGCACTTTGGGCCTGGGCATTAACTCGTTGCGCCACAGCACCAGCCCCAAACCTATATTTACTTAAAAGTAGAAAGCTACATTTACTCCAGTGTAGAATTATGAGTTACCTTTTGCTTCTATTACTCAATCCTAAAAAGTGGGGTAGACACTGATTTTAGTCCTACAAATAGCTGCCACATCACACTTCATCCCAGTTCTAGAATTGCTACCTCCTATGCCTCTGAAGAAAAGAGAAGAAGCTATCCTTGGCACTAGCTCTTTGTGGTTGTTAAATACACTAAATACACAGTAGCACAGCATCCAAGGCCTCTATGAAGCCTGCATTTTATGTGCTCATGGTTGGCACAGTTATTCTTACATCTTAGTACTGATGAGACAGTCAAGGAGAACCCTAAAACTAACTGCAAGAGGAACTGAGTCAGAGCCTAGTCTACCTCAGCACACTTGGGACATCTCAGTAATGTCATGTTGGGCAACACAACACTCCATAATGGAGAAGTTAACAGTATTTTGGTTCCTATATTTCTTCTCTTTTATCATTTTTAAAATTATCATTTCCCAGAGTAGAAATGTAAAGGGAGAAGAAAAAAAATTTATTTTTCATCAACTCTGTTTTCTACTAAAGATCTTCAAAGTGGCAGAAGCTAACAGTTACTGCAAAGCCACAATTCTTATTCATTCATTTTATGCTCCACTTCACCCCATGAATTAATGAAAGGTCAATTAAGCCAAGACAAGGAAGGTGTTTTGTGCTCATTGTTTAAAAGAGAAAAACAAAACCAAAAGGTGGGCTCTCTGCTGGGTTTGCCGAGGAAACCAGTTGCTAGTCCAGAAAAAGCACTGTCAAACAGGTCTCGCCAACTCATTATTTAGCCAGACAACAACTTTTGCGCAAATGCTTACTCTATTTCTAGAGTCCAAATCCCCATCACTTAAGTGGGGAGATGAGCATCCAGGCTTCTGAATAACAAAACAGCCATTTTTATAGTTAACAATCTATTTTTTAGTTAACAATCTCCTATACATTTTATATACTATGCATGAGAAATGTTCCTTAAAACAAAAAAAGTTAGAAATCTCTCAATTTCCATGTTTTCTAACTTTTAATTTCTTATTATTTCAAAAAGTTATGGAGGGGGCAAGACAGAAAGAGAGAGAGGGAGAGAAAGAGAGAGAGATATCTTCCTTCTGCTGGTTCACTTCCCAGATGGCTACAAGAGCTGGCACTGGACCAGGCTGAAGCCAGGAGCCAGAAGCTAGCAGGGAGCCAAAAAAGGAAATGAAGTGGCTGCCAGAGTTGCTGGTGGTGGCGGCTTTACCTGTTTCATCACAATGCCAGCCCCTAATTTCTTATTTTTAATCAGTATAGAGTATTTCACAGTTTAATCATGCAAACCCATATTGCATATTTTAGGTAGTTTTTGATGTCTTACTGTTATTATAAACAGTGTTTCACTGAACATACGTGAAGTTGCATCTCAGGACAGATTCTTACCTTATTAGCATAAATTCCTAGAGAACAATGGATTGATATATTACTACATGTTGCAAACCAGTCTTTGCATCTTTGTATTAACTGAAGACAATGGCATTCTCAGGACAAAGGTTTTTGCTTTTTTAGGGATGGGAAGGAGTGAGGGAGAGCGATATCAAGATATCAAGATAGAAATCCCCAAGAACTCAATCCAGCTCTCCCAATTACTTGAGTAATCACTGCTGGTAGCATAAAGTGGTACAATCTATAAAAACAGTAAGTAGTAAAATTACAAAGACACATAATCCTTGACTCGGCAATTCCATTTCTTACAAAATATCTTATGTAAAGGTATTTTTTCTAGTATTGTTTTGTGATAGCACAGATTGAAAATAAACTAAATGGTCCAAATTAGGAGGCTGGTGGGGATGTGTTCTGGCATAGCACATAACGCTGCTCCCTGAGACAACAGCATCCTATATGGGTGCCAGTTTGTGTCCGGGCTGCTCCACTTCTGAACCAGCTCCCTGCTCAGGGCCTGGGAAAAGCAGTGGGAGATGGTTCAAGTGTTTAGGCCACTGCCATCCATGTGGGAGACCCTGATGAAGATCCTGGCTCTGGCTTCAGCCTGGATCAGTCCTGGCCATTGTGGCCTTGTGGGGAGTGAACCAGCATGTGAAAGATCTCTGTCTCTCTAACTCTTTAAAAATAAATAAATAAATAAATCTTTTAAAAGAGGGTTGGTTAATTAAATTATTGCACATCTATACAGTGAAATACTATGCAGCTGCTTGAAAAAAAATACGAAGGAGGAAGCTCCTTATGTACTAATATGGAACAGACTTTATGACATGTTCAGTGAAATATGCAAGGAGCAGAACAGTACAGTATGCAAAGTATGCCGTCATTTGCAGTAAAAAGAAGAAAAATACATATGTAAGTCTAGACCACCTCTGGGAGGATACATGAAGAAGGTACATCTCTTAAGGGCATGTAAGAGTTTGCTTATAGAGGACAGGCATTTAGCCTAGAAAGTAAGACTCCGGTTAAGTGTGCATCCCACATTGGAATGTCTGGGTTTGATACCCAGCTCTTGACTCCAGTTTTCTTCTAATGCAAACCTTGAGAATCAGCAATGATGGTTCAAGTGATTGGGTTCCTGCCACCCACGAGAGACCTGCTCCTGGCTTCTGGCTTTGGCTAGGAGTGTGTGAATCAGTGCATGGAAATTCTCTCTCAAATAAATAAGAAGTTTAAAAAAATAGGCTTTACAACATAAGAGAACATTCATTGTGGTTCTTACTTTACAGCAGTGTGAGAAGATCTGACAGATGTACTCCTGGGTATAGCGAGACCTGCTAAGTAGTGCCATGAGGTGTGGTATCACTGTGGCATCCTGTAGCGGAAGGGAAGGAGAACACAGCAACAAGAAACTTAGGCTCCATGTGCACATTTGACAAAATATTTTCACAAGCAGGTACACAGTCTCTTATCGCAATGGCAGTAAGTCAAATCTCTATGGAACAGAAAAAACAAAAGCCACTTGGCCAGCAACATCTAGGCAACACAAAGAATAAGGAAAGGGGTATCAATTTTTATCTATGACAACAAAATGTGAGGACAGAATATTCTCAGTCTCTCTCCCATAAGTAGCCTGCATCCTCACAATAAAACACTATGTCAATAAAATTGACAGAAATTAGTTCTAAAACCAAAATGTGAGGTGACTAATAAGCTATACAGCAGTAAATCACCGAGAAGGAAAAAGTCCTGTATAAGAATAAAAATTGACAATTTTCATCTCTGAGATATTACTGCAGCCATCAGTAACTATTAAAATCTTTCAGGACGGTTGTTAGCTATTTTCAATCTGCACAAGACAATGATTAGCCACTTCTCACATAGAGCCCACTCAGGATGGGCTTTCTGATAGGTAACCCTAACAGGTCCTATTGCTGACATTTAACAACATACATGGTAGTTCAGGAAGAAAGAAGAATCAACCTACCCTGCTGCAGAGCTCACCAATAATTTTATTTAGAATGCAAAAGGAATTAAAAGTTGAAAGGAAATTTGGCCTGAACCACAAATGGATAAGAAGATAGCTCAAATCTTCTAGTGAGTGCTATCACAGATCCTAGAACTACCACTTCTCAAGAAGGAATGTGCAAGTACATTCCTAGGGGGTGTTCTTTAGGATGGGACCTAAAAGTCTGCATTCTAATCAGCTCTCCAAAGAGGCTGAGGCTGGCCCACTGTGCTTCCTCCAGGATCCTCAAAGAAAATAACAGAGCGCAAAGAAAGAAACTTGAAAAACTTAGAAAACCTCAAAGAAAGTCAGGAACTAACTGCATAGGGGAAAAAAGGAGAGAGAAGATGAGAATGCCATCAGGGAAGTCAAATAGCAGTTTCACTGGCAGACAACAGGGAAGCACAGACCAGTTAAGAGAACAGGGAAATAAAAAGATAGGTTAAAAAAAAGCCTCCATTCTGCTTCCAAGGCTATTTCTACTTCCTTCCTCCACTGTTCTCTCATCCCTTAGTTTCCCTCAGTTTTCATCAATTACAATAGCCTCCACCCCATTTTTTACAATGTCCCTTTTCAATTGTGTTTCTATTATCTGCAATTTATAGATGATTACATAAGGCAAAGAACAGTTACATAACTGCCCCAACTTATCCATCAGAAATCCCACCCTCTTCTGATTGGAGCACTTTTTTATTTCAGTGCCAGAGCTGCTGTTAACATCTGGCCTCTATACAATCCCATCACAAACTCAGTTACTTACATGGAACCACTGCTCTCTGTTATCCCCCTGTATCCAACACTTTACAGATTCTCCACTGTCTCTAAGGTATAAAACCTCTAAGGCATATTATTGAGATGTTTCATCATTTACTATCTAAATTTAACCTCCCTTTGTCTTAAGTTTTCTCATGTAAAAAAAATTAAGCTAAGATGGGCAGGTGATGGGCAGACACTTGGGACACCTGCATCCCATATTCAGAGTACCTGGGATAAGCTCTGCTCCAGATTCCAGCTTCCTGCTACTCTGCACCCTGGAAGGCAGCAAATAATGCCTCAAGTATTTGGGTCCCTGCTACCCACATGGCAGACCCAGATTGAGTTCCAGTTGCTGCAAGCATTTAGGGAGAAAACCACTGTTTAGAAGATCTCTCTGTGATAGTCTTGCTACTTTTCAAATAAATAAATGTTTTTTTAATAAATTAAGTTGGCCTAATACAGAATTTTCCAAATTGCACACCACCATCCATTAGTGGGACATGAACCATTTTGGAGCGCAAGGAGGAAGTAATTAAAACAGCTGTCTAGGGAGCCTGGAACTGTGGCATAGTGGGTAAAGCCACCACCTGTAGTACCACCATCCCTTATGGGTGCTGGTTTGAGAACTGGCTGCTCCACTTCTAATCTAGCTCTCTGCTATGGCTTGGGAAAGCCCTGGAAGATGGCCCAAGTACTTGAGCCCCTGTACCTGCCTGGGAGACCTGGAAGAAGCTCCTGGCTCTTGGCTTCGGATGGGTCCAGCTCCGGCCATTGTGGCCACTTGGGGAGTAAACCAGCAGATGCAAGATCTCTCTTGTCTCTCTCTGCCTCTGCCTCTCTGTAACTCTGCCTTTCAAATAAAAAATAAATTTTTACAACAAACAAACAAAAAACAGCTGTCTAGGGTCAATTTCCCCCCTATTACCATCCTGGGTTTGGGGAGAAACTTTCAGGGTAAAGACAGAGGATTGGTTTAATCTGTTAACGCAACAATATGACCTACAGAAAACCAAACTGCTCTTTCCTAAAAAAGCCCTCGACAGAATGCTTTGGACCAAACAGTTCCCAAAGAGTGATCCTTTAACCAGAACTATCTGAGTTATCTGCAAACTTGTTAGAAATGCAAATTCTCAGGTCCCTCCCCAGACTCACTGAATCAGAAACTCTGGAGGGTCCAAGTAATTCTGGTGCTTACTCAGTTTTGTGAACCAGTGCAGTATCCAATCTGTGGATTCATGATTCATGGATCCCTGAATGTCTCATAAAACTCTGAGGTAAAAATCTGTGCTTTTGGCCGGTGCCACAGCTCACTAGGCTAATCCTCCGTCTGCGGCGCTGGTACCTTGGGTTCTAGTCCCGGCTGGGGCGCCGGTTCTGTCCCGGTTGCTCCTCTTCCAGTCCAGCTCTCTGCTGTGGCCCGGGAAGGCAGTGGAGGATGGCCCAAGTGCTTGGGCCCTACACCCGCATGGAAGACCAGGAGGAAGCACCTGACTCCTGGCTTCGGATCGGCGCAGAGCACTGGCCATAGCAGCCATTTGTGGGGGTGAACCAACGGAAGGAAGACTTTTCTCTCTGTCTCTCTCAAATAATAATAATAATAAAAAAATCTATGTGCTTTAAATGTGGATATTACTTACAGTGTGTGGTGATCCACAAACTTCACTTAGAGACCTTATGTATCTTTAATGGTCAGAGGATATGCATCTGATGTAGGAAAGGTGGACAACAGAGCTACAGGACAGGCCCCTCTCCATGCTTGCTTTGCCTATGCCTCTCAACTGCTTAACTCTTGAAATATTTATACAGCTTGATTCTGGATAAGATCTCTGATTCATGTGTATCCAATCTGACAGTCTGGGTCTTTGTGTAACCACAGAGAAGTACAACTAGCATGAGAGAGAGAGGGACAGACAGACACCAGGACAGAAACCAGAAGGTATCACGTTTGTGCAATTGTGTGTGGGCCTTTCTCAAAAATCACAAACATACATCTTCTACATATAGATATTGAGACAATGAGTATGTCTTACAGTAGACTATAGATAAGAGCATTTCAAAAACCTTAGCATAGTTTTTAATAAAGAAATTTATTTAAAGATTTATTCATTTTATTTGAATGGCAGAGTTAGAGAGAAAGAGTGAGAGAATCTCCCATCTGCTGGTTCATTCCCCAAATGGCTACAACGGCCAGGGCTGGGCCAGATGGAAGCAGGATCCAGAAGCTTTTTTCAGGTTTCCCATGTGGGTGCAGGGCCCCTAAGACTTGGGCCATCTTCCACTGCTTTCCCAGGTGCATTAGCAGAGAGCTAGACTGGAAGTGAAACAGCCTGGACTCAAACTGACACCCATATGGGATGCTGGTATTAGAAGTGGCAGTTTAACCTGCTATGTGGCCATGCTGGCCCTTACATAATTTCCATTAAGAAAATTCTATGTAATCAACAGATTAAAAGACTCCTTCATAATCCCTGAAGTCTAAAAGAAATTTTTTAAAAATCTGAGACAGAGAAAAGAGGAGAGATAGAGGAAGACAGAGCCCCCAACTGCTAGATTACTCCCCAAGTGCCTGCAATGAATGGGGACTGGGCTAGGGCAAAGCTGGGAGCCAGGAACTAATCCAGGAATTCCAAATGGGAGGTAGGAACTTAATTACTTGAGCCTTCACTGCTGCTTCCCAGGGTCTGCACTGCTGGGAGGCTGGAATCACAAGCTGAAGCTGTGAATTGAACATAGGCATTCCTCTGCAGGCAATCTAACTGCTAGGCTAAAAGGGTTCACTCCCCTGAGGCTTTCGGGGGGGGGGGGGGGGGGAGACACTGGCTGAGGCAGGTGTTTGGTATAGCAATTAAGTCATCACTTGGGGGACCTGCATCCTGTATTAGCATGCTTGGTTTGAGTCCTGGCTCCTCTGCTTCCAATTCCAACTTTCGGCTAATGCTCAATCTGGAAGGAAGCAGATACATGACAAACTGGTGCCCATATGGGATGCCAGCACTGCAGGTGGCAGCTTTACCCACTACACCACAGTGCCGGCCCCATGCTTTATTCATTTCTACTTCTCAAAATCTTATCCATTATTCAAGGCCCAAATGAAATTCTCGCTTCTCTACAAACCCTACTCTGCTGAACTTTAACCTAAAGTGAGCACAAACCTCCCTATCACTTACTTATTCAAAGATATACTTCCCTGATTTGTACATATAAAGAAATAAGCAGTTCATAAATTCCTCAAGATCTGAGACCTTCACTTCTTTACAAAGCTTAGAAGATTTGATATTTGCAAATAAGCAAGAAAAAAATGAGAGTACTTTAAAAAGTTAATGGAAAATGGAATTTTAAAATGAATTTGGTTTGAAGCAAAAAATTTTTTGGAATTCACTCAGTTTTTTAAGATAAGTTTTCCAAGATCTTTTTGAAACCTCCTCCGTGCATAGATTTCAAACATTTGTGTACCAAGGTAAACTTATCTTTCAATACATTTTCCATGAACTTTTTGAAATTTATATTTCTTGAGACTTTTCTCTAAAATAGTTACAATGAATTTGAAGATGTGAGGCAAATCAGGAGGAGGCTGTTAGTGCAGTGTATGATGATTCAAACATAAAACTCACAGTATACAGTAGCTCCTCTGGAGTGACAGGACTGGTGAAGATGGTCCGCAGACATCGGAGGCAAGCTTCAATGAACTTCAGGTCAGGGGACAGTAGTCCTATCGATGAAACTAGATTTAAGACTCATCTTCCTTTTCAACCAGTATTCAAACACTACAAACTTTTCTACTCTTTACTTGAGCAATGGTTTCCTGACATACCTTGCAGTAAGGCAGGGATAATATGGCAGTCCAGTAGAGACTTGACATTGTTTTCAGTACCCATAGCAAGGCTTCCTAATACCACTGCACACTCAGTTTTCAGCTCTGTGCTTGAGGTTTCTTGCTGAAGCAAGTACAACAATCTAAAAAGAAGGAAATTGATAAACAAAGAGACTAAAATATAGGAGTAAACTCGTGTGACAAAGCTATCAGGTTAATGAAGGCTATCCACGCATTCCACATACTAAAAAATAGCTTGCATGTGAACCCCTCTGGGAAATGGTTGTTTATGTCATCAGCTAATTCAAAAAAGAAACAAGGTGGGGGGTATCTAGGAAAGGCTTTCTTCATTTTGAGCAGAAGGACTACCACGGATTCTGAGTTCATCATAACTCTAAATCTCAAGGTTGTCCACATGCAGACTCTGGAGAAACAGCAGGACCACAGTCTATGTTATCTGCCCCTTCCCACTGGGTCTTTTCAGAATATGGAAACTCCCAAAATATGTGCTGTCAGGTCATTTTTTAAATCCTTATTTATCTCACTGATTTGAAGGCAGAGAGCTGGGCAAGAGAGATTTGGATCTCCCATTAGCTGGTTCACAACTTAAATAACTGCAACAGCAGTTGGGTAAGGCCAAAGCTAGGAGTTCAGAACTCAATCCAGGTCTCACATGTGGGTGGATGACAGGGATCCATGTACTTGAGTCATCACCTGATGCCTCCCAAGGGCGTTTTAGCAGGAACCTGGAACTGGGAGCAGAACCTAGGATTCAAACTCAGACACTTGGATACGAGATGTGGGGATTCTAAGCAGTGTCTTATCCACTAGGCCAAATGCCTACCTTTGCTATCAAATCTGAATTCAAATTAGCAATGGATACTAAATCCACAGCAGTAATATTGCAAGTGCAGAGGTCTAGCCTAGAAGGAATAGAGTCCTTGTGAGCTCTTCAAACAAGGGAAGTTGATCTTTCTACAAATTCATTTGAGCAATGAGGAAACTCCCATTTCTACTCCACTCAGATTATCAAATCACCGTTCCCCTAACCCTAATCTTTTATCAGTTACCACTATTTTCTTTATGTTCTAAGAACTTATGTGTTCCCTAAAGCACTTTTTAAACATTGAAGACAAATTCCCTAAGAAAAGCTAGTGAGAGGGACTGGCATTGTGGTGCAGCGGGTTAAGCAGCTGCTTGGGATACATGCATCCCCTATAGGGGTGTTCATTTGAGTGGCCGGGGCTACTCTGCTTCTCATCTATCTCCCTGATAAAGTGCCTAGAAAGCAGCAGATGATGGCTTGCATACTCAGGTCCCTGTCACTCACATGGGAGACCTCGATGGAGCTCCTGGCTCCTTGGCCTTGAACTGGCCCAGCCCTGGCTGTTGCAGCCACTGGAGAGGTGAGCCAGCAGATGGAAGATCCCCATCCTTCTCTCTTCGCCTTTCAAATAAATAAATAAATAAGCCTATTAAAAAATGGCTGCTGAGAGCTGTATTAAATATATGTTTGAGGTCAGTGATGTTAAAAAATATTAAAATCGCCAATCCTATCTCAAAACTGAAAAGAAAAAACTATGAAAAACTTTTATCGATTGTACACAAACGGTTCTGAGTAGAAAAGACAAAAAGGAAGCTATACAATTGTTATTGCCTGCCAGTCGAAACTTATTAGGTCATCAGAAGAAGAAATCAAGTTTCCTATGTTAACTTTAAAAACCTCAAATCCCAACAATCAGATTTTTTTTTAAATATAGAACTAAAAACCAAGCATAGTTTTTCTCTCTAAATTCTAAAAGGTCTTGAGAACCCTAAAACACAAAACTGCAAGGGCTCTAAGGAGATGGGGAAGAAAGATTGGTGTATTTGGCTTACATATCCAACAAATCCTCACATTGTAGGGTGAATGATCTTCCTTTCTAAAAAAATACGAATACATTTTATTCCATTCTCTATTTTTTTTTCTTAGAGATGGTTCATTTCTTTAAAAAATGATTTATTTTAAATATAGGATAGACAATATTGGAGAAAATACATCTTATGATTGAGAATAAGGAATACCTTAGTAACTTAGTATGAATGGCAGAAAAGGGATTAGATAACAAACACACCTTGGAACAGCTCCTAAAACAATGAGGTTGGCTTTCTGCTTGTTGTTTCCAATTACAGCATTTTTCATGTCTCTGAACACAGTGGAAGAGAAAAAGGTAAAATCTGTTAAGACATCACTGAAAAAAAAAAAACAAAGATCAATTCATTCCACTTCATGCAACACCTTAGACTGGCATGAATACAAGTTAGGGACAAAGTCAAAACACTGATTCTTTTTCACCTGGAGTGCTAAAGAGGAAAGAGATAGGTGCTAAGTGAACACGGGGAATGTAAAACAGTGTAGTTGTGTGAAAAACTGGCAAAAGACTGCCAATATTGACAAAGAGTGGGGACTTCTTCTAAAAAGTGCACCAATTCTTCACATATAAAGGAATACAGGCCCCCTTGCACTCACAGCCCTGTGAGTAGGGAGTACAAAAAAGCCAGCCTGCAGAATACATCCAACTTGCTTCAGGGATCACACCTGTTTTTTCCCTTTCTCTCACTTCCTCAGGACTGAGTATTCTTATGATTCCACTTTGTTTGCTTTATTGTCTTATTGGCCGCACCTCTTTGGATTTGGTTTTGTTGCTTTCTTAAATGACTACTTTAGAATCAGTGAAGTATCTTCTAATTCCTGACAATCTTCAGACGGATTGCAAGAATCTTGCAAGTGTACTTCCATTTCCCATCCATTTTTTGTGCTGTTGTCTCATTTTATTTTAAAATGGAGAATATGACACATTATTACTCCTTTTGTTAAGCAGCCAATCAACTTTCAAGGAGATTAAAAAGAAAAAAAATTGTTTATCATTTATTAACCAGCATTTTTTTAATTCTAGCTACACAGAGCTCTTTATTTCACCAACAGCAAAACTCAGTTCCACAGTAAGAGTGCCTCTACCAATGATCAATTAGCTCACACAACTGTGGTTGGTTCCAAAAGACAGGAACAGAAAAGACAAACAGTCCAAAGTAAACACAGTACTACTAATAAAATACTATAAAAGACTCCCCTCTTCATCAGTACGGCTGTCCTAATATAGGACACCAGAACACCATGTAGTTCTTATAGCACAATGGTTCCCAAAGCAGGGAAGAGGGCAGCACAGCCCCCATGGAGCGCTTCAGAAGTTTGTCAGAGTGTTTGGGACATTCTGGTCACAGTGTTTTTGTTTGTTTGTTTGTTTTTTAAGATTTATTTATTTGAAAGAGTTACAGAGAGAGGCAGAGCCAGAGAGAGCCAGAGAGAGGTCTTCTATCACTGGTTCACTTCCCAAATGACTGCAACAGCCAGAGCTGAGCTGATCCGAAGCCAGGAGCTAGGAGCTTCCTCCGGATCTCCCATGCAGGTGCAGGGACCCAAGGACTTCTACTGCCTTCCTAGGCCATAGCAGAGAGTTGGATCGGAAGTGGAGCAGCTGGGACTTGAACCAGTGCCCATATGGGATGTTGGTGCGGTCTGGGGCTTTAACCCACTATGCCACAGCACCAGTCCCCGGCCATAGTTTTACAAACAGAAATCACTTTCCGCAATTTTTAAGAAAATCGCACTTTAAAAAATATTGTGCCTATTCTGTAAATAAAAGATATGTACTTTTAAAATCAAGTTATTCATGTTGGAAAATCAGATCAACAGCACAGTGACACTCATAGTATTTGAGTGATCAATATCACAGTCTATGAGGCAGGTGCTGTGGCGCAGTGGGTTAAAGCCCCAGACCGCAGTGCCATCCTACATGGGTACTGATTGAGTCTTAGCTGCTCCACTTCCAATCCAGCTCTCTGCGAATGTACCTGGGAAAGCAGCAGAGCACTGCCCAAGTCCTTGGGTGACTGCACCCATGTGAAAGACCCGGAAAAAGTTCCTGGCTCCTGGCTTTGGATTGGCTCAGTACCAGCCACTGTAGCCATTTGAGAGCGAGCCAGTAGATGGAAGACCTCTCTCTCTTTAGCTCTGTCTTTTAAATAAATAAAATAAACCTTTAAAAAAAAAAAAACACATACTGTATCAGTCTACATTTGTAACTCTTGCATTCTCATTACTCATTAAGTTCTCTACTGTTATTAGGCCTAAGCATTTACAATATTATAAATTTTAATTATCATAAAGAGAAACTTTTACATCTCTTTTATATTATAAAAGCAGAGAAGGACTATATTATTTTTGGAATTCTGTATGTGAGTTGCATTACTATTAATTTAAGGATAGTACAGAGGCATTACAAAATATTTATAATAAGAGAAAGTTAGGCCTAAAAGTGTTAAATCATTTTAACTGAAGTTCTTAGCTCATCTGCTTCTTTCATATCCCAAAATAAGCTCCCCTTAACAGTTGTCTGGTATCTCTTCTGACTTTCTCTCTTTTAGGTGGCAGGGCTGTATAAAATATGGGGACCCTTGGAAGTTATAACTCTGAAAAAGTTGTACACTTAGCAAAATAGGACTTTACAGAAAGATGTGAGGGCAGGGGAATTACTTTTAAAAAAGCAACAAATAAGTATCTATTTGTAGCATGAAATATATCACAGGCATTAAAAAAATTAATTCTCCTGAATACCAGAAAAATACTGCTACAACTGGTGATGTGCAGGGTTCTCCTCACAAGGTTGTGAATGACATTTTTACAAGTCTTGAGCCAAACACTGAAACTAATTTTTTTTTCTTTCATTAGTTCATGGCCCGAGAATGGGTCTTCCCTCCCCCCACCCTACTCCCATCCACCCTAGCCTGATCTAAACTTCTCTGTGAACTCTCCCTCACACGTATAGATTTTTTGGTGGGGCAAGAGACGCTCAACTGAATGAAGTTTCTGAGGTTTCATTAAGTCCTGAACGCCATTAAAGCCTCAGGTAGCAAAGCATGGGTAGTAAGAGATTGTACACCCAGGCTCCAGGCTCCCTATGTATGTCTGCTGTTTTCTTCTCAGAGTCTTAATTCCTCACCGCCAGCTTACAGACCTTACCGGGCAGCTTGCCACTTATTTTCATTAGCCTTCCTTCTCTTCACATGTGCTGTTCACACTAATTAATACTCACTGGTCCAGCAGCTGTTTATATTTTGTGCCAGGTGCCATTCTGGGTACCTTCTCTAATCTGAAACTCCTAACTCAAATATTTCCCCAATTTCCTCTCCATTCTTCTTAAAGCAGAAATGAGGTGTCCCTACAACAACTAATGAAACCATTCCAAACATCTGAACCAGGCCAAAGTAAATGTTTTTACAACAATGGCAAACAAAAACCCCTCCAAAACCAATTTTCCAATTCTCTGAAGTTTTTATACATAAAAAGCACGTGAGGGCCAGCGCCGCGGCTCACTAGGCTAATCCTCCACCTTCCGGCACACTGGGTTCTAGTCCCGGTCAGGGCGCCGGATTCTGTCCCGGTTGCCCCTCTTCCAGGCCAGCTCTCTGCTGTGGCCAGGGAGTGCAGTGGAGGATGGCCCAAGTGCTTGGGCCCTGCACCCCATGGGAGACCAGGAGAAGTACCTGGTTCCTGCTATCGGATCAGCGCGGTGCGCCGGCTGCAGCGCGCCGGCCGCGGCAGCCATTGGAGGGTGAACCAACGGCAAAGGAAGACCTTTCTCTCTGTCTCTCTCTCACTGTCCACTCTGCCTGTCAAAAAAAATAAAATAAAAAATAAATAAATAAAAGCACATGAAGGAGGCAGCCAATGGCTATAAAGTAAACGTAGACTAAAGAGAATACAATTAATAAAAGGGGCCAACATCTAAACTCCTACCCTGACTCTGATAATATACCTATGCTAGATAAAGAAAAAAGATGCTACTGTCCAGGAAATAAAGTCCATTCAGTTGTTACCACAAAAGGAAGCTGGTAGTTCATTTCTATGAAAAAGTTAAAACTTCTTGAGCATACTCCAACACAGAATAAAGGCTAGATTACGGAACTGACTTCAGAGGCAACAGGAACACAACTTTCAGTCAGATGAAGCTTTCCTCAGTTTCCTGGATGTTGCTATTCTCCCTCACACATTCCCCTGGCTAACTTTACTCATTCTTCAGGTCTGAGCTTAGATGTCAATGTCACCTCCTTCAAGAAAGCATGCCCTAGCACCACCAGGTCTGGCTTAGATGTCCCTCCTGGTGCCCTTTCTCATAATACTCTCATCATTTTGTTAGGATAAAAGTGTATCTCTTGAGAGGGAAGAAAGCCAACTTGACCTGGAAAAATCAGAAGTAACTGGCAAAGGATCATCAATAATAGTGACTCCAGAAAACGAAAAAGTCTTTAGTTTTTTGTATTACACAAACTCACAGCTATCATCCTAGATGGGAGCACAACGAAACTATGCAAGATGGGGTTGGCATTTAGCGTAGCCGTCAAGATGCCCACTGCCCTGTCAGAGGGCCTTCTCTGGCTCCTGTCTCCAGCTTCCTGCTAATGCTCACCCTGAAAGGCCGAGATGAGGCTCAAGCAACTGGAATCCTGCCACTTACACGAGACACCAGGATTAAGTTCCTGGCTCCTGGTTTTAGTTGTTGTGGGCATCTGAGGAGTGGATATGAGTTCTCTTTCTCTCCATCTCTTTCTCCCTCTGCCTTTCAAATAAATAAATAAATCTAATTTTTTAAAAAATTATGTAAGAATTCTATATTATCTTAAAGTTTACACAGCATTTCATACTCATTACTTTATTTCATTTTCATCAAAACTTTGAGTGCTATTAATCCTACCTTATAGAGAAGGAAACTACAACTCAGGTTTGGGGATTTTTTTCAGAACCCCATGTTAAATGACAGAGCCAACCTTAACCCATGTCTTTATCCCAAGTGTTTTCTCCACTGCCCCCAGCACAACAGGCATTTATTTACAACAAGCTGAGGAAAAAGACAAATTTGGTGAATCCATTTCTTGTTTTCTCCTGTGTTTCAATTTTACATTTTTATGGAAAAGACCGAAGAAGTGTAATCTCATTCCTACCAACGTTTAATGTTTGGGTGGTGGGGGAGGAGAGGCTAGGCAATGATCTAGTTACATTCAACATTGAGTTTTGAGCTAAGCACTGCGCTAGGTGCTATGAAGGATACAAAAATATCACACAATGGGGTGCCTGATCTGAAGAGTTCAC